TCCCTTTTTTTTTTTTCTTTGGGGGGGGGGTGTGCGTGTGTGTGTGTGTGTGTGCCATTTTCCGCAGTGCTAGCTTGGAACAGACAGTTCAGCCTTTGTCTTTTGACACAGATAAAGCACCTGTAAGCAATGCTCTGTCCAACTGTTTTATGTGCTGATTTCTCAAATCTGCAATAATTTACTTCATCAGGTTAATGTTTTTACCTGAATATAAATAAAAAAGTTTGCTTCACCTTTTTGTTCATAGTTTTGTACTGTATGCATAAAGTTCAATTGTGTAAATTACGGTAATGCAAGTAAATCATCCTAACTCTACTTGGCTAATAGCCTGCAACCTGTGGATGATTTAGTACTAAAACAAGATCTTTTAAAAATCTCCAACGTAGAGTGATTTTTTTTTTTCCTTTCTGTGGGTTCCAAAAACGGTCAATTACAAATATACCTGAGATGTACCTGCTATATAGTTCATCTCTATGTAAATGTGATAGTTAATTACTTTTATTCAATTTTGAGAAATCAAAATTCATTTCAGTGCTTAGAGATTGTTAAGTTTTGGCTGATCAGGCTAGTATTTCCCCTAAACTAACAGGTGTTCTTTTATCTAGCTGAAGAACTTGTACTTCCAGAATATGTAATGGACGTTCTTTCAGTGAACATGCACAGAATTACATGTGGTTGCTCTTATCAGTGGCACCGAAATGTAATGCAAATCTGTCGTGAGCATGAGTAGAATGTGAAATTCTTGCATAAAGAACCTAATAACTGAACAGTTTCTACTACAGTATTAAAACTGGAAGAAGGTGCTTCACACTGTACATTTAATAACGGTAGTACACAGTGCGGCATAGTTTTCATAAAACTTCAAGGCAGTGTTTAAACAATGGACTGGTGTATAAATTGTTCTGATAACTTGATCAAACTGAACACAAAAAAGTGTTTATAGTGTGTGGATAGCAATTTGTTCTTTTCTTAAGGTTCTATATTTTAAAAAACTGATTTGTGTAAAAAAAAAAAAAAGAAAGAAAAAAGCGAATATTTTGCATTAAAATGTCATGTGTATTGATATTTTTTTAACCCATGTTGTCTCCCTTTAGAATCTGGCTTTCATCAACTTCGAAATTTCGAGCTTTCAAATTTTATATATAGCTGTTGTGTAACTTTCAGTGGGAAAATAAGTTGTTGGTTGCCTTTTTAAAAGGGAATGAAAAACAGGTATCTGTAGTGACAATTTTTACTGTGCTAGCTCTCATTTTCAGCACAGACTAAGGATGTAGTTGGCCTGAAAAGCGAATGAAACTCTTTCGGTGACGCTCCCCCACCCCCCACTACCAAGGGCAGCTTTTAGTGTGTTAGAAGAGCAGTCTGGTTTAAAAGGTAAAGATAAAGTAGATTACATTGAAGCTTGCATGACTGCAGTACTTTCCTACAAATGGAAATGTAGTATCTAAAAGCAGTTGAGAACAAGTGGAAGTGTGGGGTGGGATGTTAGGGGTTCATCTTTTCCAGGAGCTTTGCATTAATGGAAGAGATCATTAAAATAAATCATAGGTGTGTGCAGTTTTGTATTGAGGACTGTGCAGCTCTCAGAACAATGTGTAGTTATCTTAGTACTGAACTACTATGCATACCTTTTTAAGGTATCATAAAAGGTACAAAAAGTCTTGTTTTCAAAATTAGTGACTTTTTTCAATGTGATATCTGATTTTAGAGAACACCGGCCATCAGTCACTATTTTGGATGAATTTCATGTTCTTCTAAATTAAGATCAGCAAAAAAATAATTCGTAGGGAAGAAAAGTGCTATCCAAGCACTGGTAGTTGTTACTAAACTTGTGCACTGATGGGTTGGCTTTGTTTGTTTTTTTTTATTTTTAGAAGTTTACTTTCTGCAGAACTGTTTCTTGTTAGAGAACTTAGTATCACATCTGACATGAATTAGTAAGGTCTAGTGCTGCTTTTCTTCATGTTCTGTACAAAGATGTTTCGAGAACTGATTCTCGAAATATGTATAATATGTGTAAAATCCACCTGCCCATTGTCAGGTATAATCAGGTATTCCCATTTTCATATGCAGACTGCATACGTAACTTAATTACTTAGATGATTCCTTTTTTTCCCCTTCAACTGTATGTTTGAGATTTTTTTTATCTCTTTTCCCTTACTGAGCTGCTAAGAGGGTGGGTGCCTAAGGGCAGACACTGATGAAATTCCAAGTACCTGTATTACTTGTGCCCTGTTTTCAGCAACCTGTCTTCAAATTAATAATACTAGTTCCCATCATCTGAGAAGACTACCTCTGCAAGAAAGCTTTCTAACAGAAAATTAAAGTCTACGTGACTTCAGAGATGAGGCCTTGTTTCTAATGTGAAGATGCCTCCCCAAAGCCAAAATGCATTTTTCTGTAGCTAAAGTTGTTGGCAGAATGGATAGAAATAAAAAACTTTGAGATTAGAAGAAAAAGTTTGGAAGGGGGGCAAAATCTTACTGGTAGTTGAGCCTTTTCAGGGTTTGCGCTGTCTTCCTTTTGCTTTCCTAGTCCCTTGATAGCTTGAGGGAAAACCTCTATGCCATGTCATCTTTCTGTGATCTTGCGGGACTTTCACAGCTATTTGCTCTAACATTCTTTGTTTCTCCCCATGTGTTAAGGTGTTCATAGCTTTTTCTCAGATGAATGTAGTTGGTTGCCCCAAGAGTAGAAGTCGGAATCCCACCCTAGTGCATCAGCATAAGCAGTCACAGGCATTTTAACAAACCATTAATACATGTTTATACAGCAAATACGAAACAAATTTCATAGTTCTGCTGCTTGTGACTAATAGTGAATGGCTCAAGGAATAACTGCTTCAGTGGGCTGAGGTAGAAGCTGCATTTAGAGGAATACTATGTCCATATCTCCTAGTACTGAGCTGTGTGTGTACTGATCAGACATCAAGCTGCTTTTTGGGTGGCAGAGAGGAACAGGTCTTGGTTCTCTTCTTTTATTGTGTGTAGCTGGAGTCCTGAGATTCTTGAACAATAAGAAGGGAATTAAGTGGAGGGAAAACAGTGAAGATAAAATCACTGTTTTCAAGACACTAGATAAAAAGTTCATGACAGCTCTAGAGACAGTTTGGCAGCAACTTCTAGAAACCTGGTTTAAAGAAGAAAAAAAATATATACATGAGAAGAACATGAAAAATTTGCCTCTGAATGGTTCTCTAAACTATAGTACAGTCCTACAGTTAATATTCTGTAGAAGGCAAACTAAATGGGACAAAATGCTGAATGTAAAAGTGTTTTTTGATTTATGGAACAATTCTAATGCTAGAAAGAAATGTGGGCTAAAGGAGAAAGATTTGAAGGTGATGATGGTAAAAGATCACGATAAGCATTAGAAAAAGATGTCATGCAACCTGGAGCTTAAACCCAGAAAAGACATCAAAATGGATGAGGAGGAAGTTGAATTTCTAGTAGCCCCCAGGTGAAGGAGGAGTAAGAACTGTGCAGATCCTGACTCAGAGTTAAGTCAGGGAGAAGGTAGTGAGTTGGATGGAGTCTGCTAGCTTGGAAGCAGTGGCCTTTACAGGCCCTTCAGAGTTAGCTAGCCCTAAAGAGGTTGCAAAAAGAACCAGAAGGAAAGGGCCTCTTTACGGCAGGTTGTGGGTGCTGAAGGACTGGTGTATATTAGAACGTCATTCTGTACTATGGGCCTGCAAGCGAGGAAGACAATGGTAGGAACATAAAGGGACGATCCAAATAAAGTGGTAGGGGGTGGTTAGAAACTCCAAATTGGAGAGACACGCAGTTGGTGATGAACATTTTGTTCTGTTAAAGGAACAGGAGCTGAATATGTTGGGTGCGGTGTTGGCAAAGAAATTTGCAGGGTAGAGAGAGAGGATGGACTCTTCGGGGAAGGGGGAGAATGAGATCAGCCTAACCACATCAACAGCAGAGACACCCCAGGGAAAGTCTTGAATGTTCTATCTATGGGAACCGGGGCCACCTGCAACGGAACTGTCCTCTGCAGCCTTGTATGAGGGTGCCAGACGGCTGAGAGCAGCCACTTCGGAGACGCTCCAACCCGCAGCGGGGTGCCAACAGATCTTGGTGTACAGGGGAGTTCCCTGAGGCAGGGAAACACAGCAGAGATGCTGCCAGAGCCACCAACGCTGTCCAGAGAGGCAGGCCGGGTGTGGATGTTGCCACAGCAACAGTGAATACTCCCATAAACACGGCTTTTGGGAGCAGTAGATCTGATCCCTGTGCCTAGAGCTTGGGCGCCCAAAGGGGATGTGGGCCATTGCGCAGAAGGATGCGTGGACATGGTGCAGAAAGCCCTGCTACTAGTTG